CCGTTGCTTACACCCCCCGCTGCGCCGCCGCCTCCTCCTCCTCCACTTCCTCCGGCTTGAACCTCCAAGGATTCGGTTCTGGTTTTTGATTCTGATTCTGACTCTTGGGTCTTGGTCTTGATATCCCCGGTCCTTTTTTTGTGGGTTCTTTCCACTGGAGCCATTTCAGGGGCTATTGATTGGTCCCTTCCTGCTCGGGCATGCTCCTGCCTCCCAAGAGTGGTTTTTCTTACCTTACTTAGTTTCCTGGTCTCAAATCGCCACTGCCTTTACTGCAAGTGCGACTGATTCCCAGATTTCACTGTAGCTGCTACCTTAGCTGCTCGCACTACTACTGCACCTTCCCTCCCACCCCATTAAGATTCAGCGCGCAGTCCCGTCCCCCTCCTCCACCTGCCACCATCCCATCGTTCATCATTAACCCATTGCCATCCACCCATCCATCCACCATCGGCTTTCCGCCATCACACACGCATACACCCGCTCCATCGCATCGTCTAACCATCCTGTTGACAATCTATCAATCACTTTGTTTGACGCGCATCTTGGAATCTTCAGCGCTCTGTTGATATTCTTGTTACGCGACCCTTCGTTGGTTTTACTTGCGCGCCCATACGCTGGCTGATCTGATCATTGAGATTCGTCCGTGAGCCTCTTTGACGTCGTTGTCGCACAACGCGATTCCGCGTCTATATTTCATATCACTCTATCACCAGACAAAGGTAAATCCTGCCAAAGTTTTGATTCTGCGTACATCTCTCCATTCTTGCTTTCTGCGTCTTGTATCGTCTCCTTCTGCTTGTTTGTCTTTTTTGCTTCTTCACACACCTGTCCCGCCGCTGCCGCGACCAGCGTCTGGATTACTACGATCTTGTCTCGGTTTGGCTCAACTTCCGACTGGAGTCTATGCCCCTGGCCTGCGCTTGACTCTCCCTTCCGAGCCAAGGCCTGGCAGGCCAAATCGCACATCACAAGGCCAGGCAGGCTTCCCACTTTAAGCTCGCCATATATCTACAATTCGCCATTCACGCTCAACGACGCGCCTCCTTCTGGCTGCACAACCACGTGCGACTGGCGTTGCCTCCTTTCTGCATCTTCTCCAACCCGTCAACTCGTCAGTCCAAACATCTCTGGACACGTCGCCATCGCCTTCCCGTGGTCGCAACTTCACCCATCCCCAGCTGGCTCGGTAGCTCTGTGATGTACTCCGCTCAGCAACCCAGCGCTGATAATGCGACAATCAATCCAGCTGCGCTCAGCTCACCTGGTAAGTTTTATAACTCTATCTCTTTCTTTTCGTGGTCGCATATCCTTCGCAAACCTTCCTCCACTCTTATACCATGCCATACATACGTGCAAGTGATAATATCACTTGCGCTCAAAGTCCATGATGAATCCATTTGCCCCGCACTACAACTTTCGCGCCCTGCGACAGGGGGAACCAAGCGTGAAATAGGTTGCGCCACCCGTCACCACCGTCCGTCAATTCAATTCAAGGTTCAAAATGCTAATCAGCCTTCTCTAGTCATAGGTCTGACGCAACAACCCCAACGCACACTGAAGCGCAGTCATTCTCCTGGAGTTTACGGCGCGCCGCAGCTTGGCGATGACGGTATGTCGGCGATTAGTACTCCGCCGCTACTTTACTCATTTCGGCACCCGACTACCTTGCGCCAGATACGGCGATCAATTACGATTCCTTTTTAATTGCTATTTTTGTTCATATGTTTTACGTCGTATTTCGTTGCAGTACTTGCCGGCTCAAAAATGCAACTGGTGAGAGAACGTGCTGACCTGTCTTGCAACCTGCAGGTGATACAAAACCACTTCGAAAGAAGGCAAGACCGATGAATAAACGATCAACGGGGAGCATTTCCGAGGCTCCCGGCCAGGCCGCCGGCTCGACCCTTCCTCAGACTATTCCCCCACCGCAGACTCCCCAGTCTCAAGGCTCAGCGCTGCCGCAAACGAGCCCTGCCTATACGCCGCAGACACAGATGCCCCCAAAGACAACTCCGACAAAGTCAACACTGAAGGCTCTGCCCACTGTGCGAGACCACACGACCGACCAGCTCAATCCGACTGGAGATGAGTATATACCCCGTGAAATTGATGAGTTCGGAGAGAAGAAAGTCCAACTCAACGGCACGCTCAACGGAGGACGTGAATACAAGTGCCGAACATTCTTGGTCCCTAACCGCGGGGATAAATTGTTCATGTTGGCTACCGAATGTGCTAGGGTTTTGGGTTATCGTGATTCGTACCTCTTATTCAACAAGAACAGGTCTCTGTACAAGATTATCGCAAGCCAGGCCGAAAAGGATGACTTGGTTGGGCAAGAAATCCTCCCTTTCTCGTATCGATCCAGGCAGATTGCCATCGTCACCGCCAGGTCCATGTTCCGACAGTTTGGAAGCCGTGTGATTGTCAATGGCCGCAGAGTTCGCGATGACTATTGGGAAACCAAGGCCCGGAAACAGGGATTCACTGAGGCTGACCTTGCCGGTGAGAAGCGCCCCGGTGCTACGAAGGCGAGAGAGGCGGCCGAGGCCCAGCAGAACAACGTCTTGTTAGCTGGTCCCCATCCAGAGATTGTGTATAGCAACAACCCAGGACCGTTCCCCGGCCCCCCGCAGCCGCACCTCGTTCAACCAGGTATGATCGGACCACCACCCGGAACCACGACAAGAATGCCCGGATTGACACTAGGATCAGACCTAAGCGACTCCCGGCCGCGCGATTATTCCGGAATTCTCAAAGGCGGACCTCGTCAGGAGATCACCGGCCCTGCTTACCAAGACCAGACCCGTCCCTCGCCCCTCGGGGAGCTCAACGCCCAGGCCCATCATGCCGCAGATTTCAACAGGTCAGTTAATCAGCAGCGGGATATGCGCAACGACTATCTCCAAGGCGTTTGGCGCCGCCCACATGAGCAGCCCCCCTCCAATCTGACCCAGCAGCCTGTGGCCTCAGCCGAGAGTTCCAACACGGCGACTAGTAGGCCTTCACACTCACCTCATACTACGGCTACGGCCATGTCGCAGCAGCCTGGATTGGTTTCCGCTCAGAGCCCTCAAATGATGATGACCACTGCGCCCTACTCCCAGTCAATCAGCGCGCAGAGCAGTCTCAGTCAAGCACCCATGAGGGGTATGGCTCAATCACCCACGCAATCAATCAGACCAACACTTCCCGGTACAGGGGGCTCCATGTCTCAGGGAGCGCCTGGTTACAACTACCAATCGGGTCAGATGTGGCCGCAGACTCCACAGGCGCCCCAGCATGGCTACGGCAGCTACACTGCTCAATCCCAAGCACCTCACCCGTCGCAGTCGCCTTCGCATCTCCGTCAAGGGAGCTCGGGCCAGATGCAAAGTATGCAGTTCCCCGGCATGGCTGGTATGCAGTATGGTGCAGGTCAGAGCATGTATCCTGCAGATCAAACGCCTCGCCAATACATGCCTCAAGGTGGCGCTGGTGGACCATCAGTCTCTCAAGGCTGGTCCGGCCAGCATTCACCAGCCCAGCAGTGGTGGACTCCAGGGCAGCAACCTCAATAAGTTTGTGAACACCAGCTGGTGATGCGAAACGATGGAATGATATAGCCCACGGTCTCACCTGCTTCCGTTGAGAAATCCGATCTGATAGTGTGGTTTGTTTGTGTTTTTTCTTCTATTTGCCCTTTTTATTTTTCTTATTTCTTTCTTGGCCTATCCTGGGTTTATATACGACTTGAGCCAGAAGACGGCTATCTTCTTGGTCTGAATTTCCTCCCTCCTGGGTCTCCAGGTGCGCAGATGAGTGGAGGGGCTATGTGCATCTCGAGGGGCCTTCTGGCTTGAAGAATTGCCAATAGTATTTGGACTGGCTGGGATAGAGGAGTCAGACAGGACAGGGACACATGATTTTTTTTATTTTTTTTTCTTCTTCTACTTGTGGGTTTTGATACGAGGTAGTAAGTCTGGTTAGGTACATTCACGATGGTAACATGCCCTGCTGTTGTTTTTTGTTGTTATATGTTTACCACGCCATTCTGTTGGATGCAGGCATATGGGCTTACTCTGATGTTATTTGGGCAGATTATTGGTTTGGTTTGATTTGGTTGTTCTTGTGGTACTACGGATGAGTTTTCCACTGCGACTCGACTCGCCTGTGCGTCGTCGCTGGGTACTATTTGTGTTGGCGAGGCATACATTTATTAGGCTTTCATTTTGATACCACGTCACTCTTCGATTCGTCCTTTTAAACATTTCTTTCTTCCTGGAGTACAACGTACCAGTCGTGAAGCGTGTGTGCATGTGCGACATGTGAGTGTCGCTTGAGGGGTGTGATACCGACTGGGTGACATGGTGGGGATTGTATTGTTGATTCAGATTTGATAGTTCATGTCTATAGTCTTACCTTAGCTACTTTGCGGCTTTGCTTGCTGCGTAAATAATGATGATGCTTGATAAGATGTTTAGGGTCTTCAGTAATCTTGTTGTTTTGTGATGTTCTTTGCACCGCGAGCTGAGGCTCATGTCAGTCAGTATCGAAGCTGTGCAACGAACCCGGACTTGGCGTGCTGTTCGTGTCTGTTTATGCAATACACAGTCACGACAGCATGCTTTGACCCGGTCCAGCGAATCGGGCAGCCTGGGATGTTGTCGTCCAATATTTAGGGCTTATGTACTACATTTGAAGTGACAGCACGGTAACACCCGTCGGGATGTTTCCGCCGGGGCAGTATTCGCAACGGGGCTCATTTTGTGAGAGGGCAAGGAATGTGGAGTGTCTGGAGAGTGTTGACAAGGTGCGTAGTACAACAGTTGAGATTTAGGTTTGAACTGTACAACAGGCTATAATAGGAATTGTCATACCCGCTCAGCCCGTGTAGGTACAAGCAAGGCAACTGAAGGAAAAAGAACTAGAATATCGTGTCAATAAATTGTGAGACAGTGGCACCATGAACATACGAGTCGTTCATCCAACCCCCAGGCCAAATGGCTAACTACATTTTTCTAATCACTCTCATCACCATCCAATGCCTCGTCTCTCTCCTCTTTCCCTTCCTTGAGCTCAAGGGCATCCTGGGTATCATCGTCACTAGCTTCTCCCTCTTCCTCGTCTTCTTCTTCGACTTCATCGTCCTCTGAATCTTCGGGGATCTCAACTTCATCCTCCGTCACGGCATCCTCCTCCGCCTCTGCATTTCCAGGCTCTACACGAGGGCGCTTAGCTAGAGGGCCTGTTGAGACAGCTGTTGTGTCTGCGTCGGTTTCCATGTTAGACATGTCTGGCATGTCAGTGTCTGGCCCGTCTGACTTTTTGGCGCGGACTTTTTGACGGTAAGATGTGCGCTTTTCAGTCTGGATAGCGTTGAACTCTGTGTAGGGTATTAGCAGTCTTGTAACATACAATCCGGCCCACGACGAAAGACATGGCAGGAACTATGAAAAGACGTACTGGAAAATTCAGCTTCAAGAGGTTCCTTGAGGAACGCGAACTCGGTCTCCTCGAGTGCCTTGAAGACATCTGCAGGGGAGATTGTCTTTTTGCCTGCATTGATGGTGTTTTCATTGGCGCTAAGTCGCAATTAGTGATTTTCTCTTGGGGGGAACGAAGAAACTTTACGCACTGAGACGCTAGGTAGTTGATAAACACTGTGGTGCTCTGGCTTAGAGCCATGATTGCATTGGCCTGGATCTGTGTGTTGGGGGGTAGAACACCCTTAGACAGACGCGTTATTATAGACTTTGGAAGGGTTAAGTCCTATGGTTCGAATTAGTCGGTCAGTCTTTGGTTCTAGTCGTCCCTTGTGGATAGATTTGGACACTCGAAGATTGAGAGGTGGTTGGGCTGCTGTTTTTGAACCTACCTCGATGGTGATGTGCTCCTTGTGCTCTTTGTCCTTGTCCTTGTCCTTGTCCTTCTTGTCTCCATCCTGGGTCATAGAAGTATCCGCTTCAGCTTCCGTACCAGGAGTCTCATTGGCAGCTTGCGGTGCTGGTGCTGGTGCAGCAGGTCCTTGTGTGGCCATGGAATCGTTGTCATGTGTCGGAGCGGGTGCTCGACTTTGCTCCAAGGGCAACACATCATCCATCGGGACAAATCGTGCAGTTGAAGTGTCGCTTTTTCGCGAGATAGACTTACGAGGTGGCATTGTGAATGGTGATGAGAATAGTGTGTTGATTGATGCTGGGAAGAGATGCTTTAGATGTGGCTGTGCAGATCTTGCTACCCAGGTATACAGCTGAGATGAAGCAAAAGAATGCTTTGATCGAACAGAAATGCTATCTCCTTATTGTATTTGATGAGTATCAGAGGGAGCACCTCTGATGTGGCGACCACTTGGTCACTCTCTTCTCAACGTCTTACTGGTGATGATCTCGAGTCGGAACGGATATTGGAGAACAAGGAATGTCGAGATTAGTATTGGTCCCTGTTCTGTTGGTCGATATTCATTTACGCAGCAAGAACTCAATGTCGATGCTTGCGGACGCTGTAGATCCTGACCAAGATAATTCGTTGTTGGCTTGAAATTTAGTGACAACGCAAATGAACTTGGACTGAGGTTGAGTGCAAGTTTAGTGAACGCGATTGAGACAGGATGTGGCTGGACGCGACCTATGCCCCGCTGTGAGTGGCTAGGGACGCGTTAAGTGGTTTCTTGGTGGAACAACGCTACCTCAGGAACAGAGTGCGATTACTTAGTAGGTATCTACACAAAGTAAAGCCAATGGTATATCAATTAAACTTCATATGAAGACGTTTTTAGAACGTGACGGGTACGAAGCTAATTATGTTGATCTAAAGTTTAATCTTGTTCATCTTGATTGCGTCAGTGATACTACTCCATCTATCAGTCCGATGCGCCCAAGATTCAAGCAAGGGTTTAAGATAAACTTGGAGGGAGCGCTTGTTGTCAATCTGTTTGAATTGGAGTGCATATCTATATATATATATATAGCTTTCGTATAGGTGTTGGGCACATGAGTGATAATGCCAAGGACTCATTTGTCTATCAAGCTCCGTATCTTAATAGGAGAACTCTCGTGGCCAGGCTCGAGTCAGCCGTGGATATCATCTGCATCGTATGAAACGGACCGTCTCGTATCCGTTCATATCACTTGCTCGCTTGGTCATGATAACATAAAAAGAAAAAAAATGAAGGAAAGTCTGGGGTATATCCGTCATCAAAATGCACACAAAATCCTCCGTGTTCCAGCACCGGGCATAGACGCCAGCGCATAAAATCATGGTCCCCGTGGGACCCAAACGCCAAGGGTAAAATGAGGCGGGTTCAACCGGTCTCATGTTTACTGCCTCTTCTAGGAGAGGAGTGAGAAGCGAAGATCGAAAATGACAGTGGGTTCTTGCGTATTCGTGAAGAGAATGTAGGTGGGTGTTTGAGCTCGAGGCTCGGAGTAGGGTTGCGTCGAGCGTCATAAAGCCGAGTCTCTTGGTCATTAACGAGATGAAGCAATATCTTCAGGTTAATGCCGAGGGGCCCATCACGATCGAATTGCCTCCGAGTGACAGCGGCAATGGAATGGCAATGTCTCTATGGACCGGAGATAGTCCTTCTAGAAATGGGTCAAAAATGATCTCAGCCCCGCCAGTTTCGACTGTGACTGGGGTGTTGATGGGGTTTGACGGGGGTTGAAACAAGCCGTCACGGAAACCTTTCTTGATACGGCTCGGGATGATAATCAACGATACCAGGGTATGCATGTCGTATGGTGTTGGTTCTCAGTGACAGTATCGTCAGATTCTTCTCGCTCAGCCGATGGCCCTGCCAATCTCTGATTTGCGGATCAAAGGTCGCGGTGAGAGACCCCCCAGGAAAACTTCATCGTCGAATGAGAGTCGGTTCATGTTTGACATGGAATGCATTCGCTGGTGCTGCCGTCGAATATCTAATGACCGATTTGCTCTGGGTAGGTATTCGCTGGAACTGCGAGTGCCGAAGGCATCGGGATAGTGACCGTGCCAGGGATCACGGGGTGATACTGCACTCATGGTGCTGCTGCGACTGCTGCGAGTTCGACTGTGGCGAGCAGAGGGGGGAAGCTTGGCTAATCGTGAAGGCTGACGCTTCACAGGTGGGATGAAGGCATCTTCACCCTGGACGGCCTCATCAGTCAGACCGGGGCGAGAATTGGGAGCACGGGCAACGACTGGGGTTGAAGGGGTTTCAATGCTGTGCTTGTGGTGAAGTGAGCGTGGTGAGAGTTCCTCAGAGACTCGGGGATGAGGACGATCGTAGACAATAACACTTGGAGGTTTGCGTATGGAACTAAACGATGTGCTCTTTTGTCTCTGATGCTGGAGTTGTCGCTCCAGATCATTGGCTTCGTTGTTAGCAGCCTCGATGATGCGTGCCTTTTCTTGGTTCCTGTCCTTCTTCCATGACTCGATTTCCTCGTCGCCGATGGGGGTGATGCCTCTGTTCATGAAGAGAAATCGACGTTGGCGGTTACGGCGGTAGAGGAAACATCCGACTGCGGTGATGGCGGTGACGGGAACCACGGTCGCGAGGACAATGATGAGAGCTTGGAGGTGTGAGTCCTTCATGGCTATATCTCCATTCTGTGTCTGTATGTGAAGACGTCAGAGGGAGGTGAAGTGGCGTTGTCAAGTATTAGTAAAGTCACACCAATGTTGTCCAAAGGTGTGATGGAAGAAGACAAGGTGAGCGAACGTTGAGCTTGGACTGGAAGATATACGCTTCCGAGTTGAGGCCAACTGGGAGACGGTTAGTTCTTGTACTAGATCATTTGTATGTAAGCTGGATGAGATATGAGATGACGGGTGGTGTCCATGCATATCAATACACCGACCACTATCTATATCATCCATGTAACAGACATAGCACACGCATGTATTAAAAGGGCAATATTCACCAACAATCAAGCGATTACTCGGGATCGAGCTTTAATGATAATCGGATCAAGTGAAATTGAATTCACTCGGTTCGATTGAAACTCGATTCGAAAGTCGGTATAAGGTCAATCTCCAAGGTATCGACGTTGGGTGGAACGTCGGTAGAGATGGGGTGAGATGAGATGGGAGGAGTATAGGTGAAGGTATATCGACCAGGAACTCAAAGGCCCTGTATATGGCACAGGCAGGACGAAGGTCAAGAGATCAGAATGTGAGTTGGGGGGCGGTTGAAGCTATATACAGACTGGGGGTTTCAAAGAGTGGGAAAGGGTGTGCAGACTACATCTGATGGGGGAGAGTGAGGATGCAGGCCTAGGATCGTCATGGCCAGCGAGCATGCAACGCCAGATGTTAGTCTTTACTAAGAAAAACATACATATGTACTGTACAGCATGTACCTAGCTAGTCAAGAATAAGAACAAGATATGAGAGACATGCGAGATGGTGAGAGACAGGAGGTGTGAAGCCTCACTCAAGTGGGTGTGGGCTTTGGTGGATAGTAAGTGGATAGGGGGTGAGACTAGGCTCTGAGCTGCTGATACATGAAACCCTGGTCTACAAACCACCAAAGAGGTCTGGTCTACAGTATTATCGATCAAGAGGTTGACTTCTAATTACAGCAGAGTTGCATCTCTTTTTCCGTCAACGTGCAGGGTTGAGAAATGCCCTGCATTGCATTGCATTGCATTGTCAAAGAGTCGCAAAGAGACACAGACAGCACATTAAAGTGCCAATGTAGGGAGAAACAGGAAACAAGGACACAGCCAATCTGAATCGTCCTCCAAGTTTGTACCTGAACGAGTTTGAAACTGGAATAATTCCCGCACAACCAATCCAGCTCGACTCGTGCCTTGCGTCGCACAATTTTTTTTGTCCCTCATCATGTGTCAGTTTATTCACTGAAGTCAAAGTGGATATCCTGCCCCCCCCCCCGGGTGAGACGGCGCTGGGCACGGCTCAGGACGTTTTAGGGCCAAGCAGTTTTTTAGGCCAGGCCCCAGGGAACTGACTATTCTAGTTGGAGTCGGTCGTCCGGCCCTGAGGGGCAGGAGACAGGGGATATTGATGGACTCTAGCGCCATGGCGTCGATGGATTGGAGGAGCATCATGAACGTGGCACACTCAGGGACGAACAGTCCCTATTCTCTTGCATGCGATCTACTGGAGCAGACAGGGGTGATAAGTGGTGAGTGTGGTGAGTGAGCTCAATTCAGTGATTACTGATTATCGACTACCGCGTATGTACGGAGTCTGGATGACAATGATGGGCATCTCTCAGAACTACAGAACAGTAATAATTTTAACAGCCTGAGATATCTTCATGTGCTATCAATGCACCTCAATTCTATATGCCTTAGTGCTACCTACCTACTAGCCACTTAGGTACCTACTTAGTGGATTAAGGTACTACTTTATATTCAGAACCCTCTTGCAAGAGAACCTCACATAGAACCCTCATAAATCATAGACTACTAACTTTACGGAGATGAAGTGGCAGGAACTTCTGTGCCATGTACTACTTACTGTATTTGCACGTCTCTACGTCAAATCCATGCCTGGCAGTTACTGTAAATAGTTCCTTCCTTGAAATATCTCGATCTACCTACGGGGTAGTAGCAAACCGACTCCCAACAACCCTCACATAATACCGACTTCATGTCTCATCCCTTTTTCCATCATGCTTCACACATCACCAACCTCAGACTTGCATTCAAAACTCACCGTCATCGACATATGCCAGGATCCCCCGGGTTTGGAGCCTCAGCTCCTCGTCGTTGAACCCCTCACATAATTATCAACCCGCCTCTATCTTCGTCTAACACGGGGGGCACAGACTAGTCCGGTCTTGCCAAGGGTCTAAGACAAGCATGCAGCTGAGCTGAGCAGAACATGCATCTGCGCTTTTCAGCAAGGGAGATTTGACAAAAACCGGTTACTTGCAGACCTCACCACTCGCCAGTCAAAGCCAGTCCATAATAGACACACTACCTAGACACATCCCACCAAAGCACACAAAAAGCAAAAACAATAAACGGCTCGGGCCCCTCGGCTAATTCCTCACCCACGATTCCAGAAATGGGATGCTACATCAACGATGTATGGGATGTCACCACTTGCTCTAATCACACAAAGTAATGGTGCGGTCACGCTGGTGGGATGGCATGGGCTGCAAGGGAGCAGATGGCTCCTTGCAAGGTTGCCGATGTCCTCGAAAAC